TATTTATTTGTATACAATAACATTTAAAATGGTAAAATGTGAGCTTAACCACCTTAATACAATATTTTTAAACAATAAACAGTGTCTGAGAACATTTACCAAAGTAATGTATATTTTTTTTACACCATCAGAAAGTAGAGATTTCAACGAACAAAAAGCACACCGACTTTTTGAAAAAAGCTGATATTTTGACGCGAGAATTTTCGATTGAAAATTAGGGTGCTTTTTTGATATTAAGTCAAAATAAGGCGAAATAATAAATATTTCAAATCAAATAAATTACAGTGTATTTGGGACATAAAAAGGTAAGTTTTCACCAAATTTCGTGGACAAAATTTTTTTTTGTAAAAGATAAAAATAAAAAACCAAGAACTTGGTTTTTTGAATTTTTCACATAAATTTTAAGGTTATGTAAAAAAATTGTAATTACAAAAGTTGTAGATCATTTTATTACCTACAACTTTGCCATTTCACTTTTTTTCATAGGACTTTTAGTTTTGCCGGAAATCGAGATAAACCATTTTTTACCCTTAAAACCCCCCCCCCCTCCCACTTCCCGAAGTCAGATCGCCCGTAATTTATTTTTTCTTTCATTTTTATTATATTCTTCTCCTTTTCCAATGGGTTTCATCCTACTGTTATTTTTTTTGGTTTCAAAAATTATCGACCCTGGTCTACACTGCTACCACAAAAGTGGAAACTGTAAACATTTGTAAAAAGTTATAATCGAACTTAAAAATTGCTATATGGACAAAATTTCTCAAAGAAAATTAAAGTCAAATTATTTTACACCAATAATCATACCAAAATAAAAATACATTCAAATTACATGGAAAAAGTGGTTCCATCTATCGCATTTAGCTGGAAATCAGTGTAGGTAACTGTAATTACAGGTCACTGTAGAATAAATTCATGCACATAAACTATTATCTCAAAAGTCGCAAACTCAAGAATTCTTATGTGGAAATATTTAACGCTTAACAAAATAGTATATATGTTACAGTCAATGTAAAAATGTAATGTATACAATAACTGATTTTGATACGTAAATGTATTCAGAAGCGCATTAACTACTTACCTACTTACTAGTAGATGTTAATATTGACGTTACAAACCATACCTGCTATAGCAAAATTGTACATAAACTAAAACCCAAACCCAACCCACAAAACCAACCAAACTAACCCAACACACAAAACCTCCCAACAGTAAATATAAACGCATTTACTAGTAATAGTACACTTTTACTATTACTAATTCACGTAAATGTATGTATACATCTACTGAAATACTTTGACTGTGACATATACAATACATGCGACAATCTGTTACTTTTTAGCACGGTTATCATGGGAATTTTGTTTTACAAATTTTGAAACATAATATGTCATTATTATTGAAACGTCAGTTTGTAAACAAAAATTGTTCCAGCTAATTTTAACACTTGAGGTTAACTGGCATTTGTTACTACGAACTGCAGAATAATCTAAACCTTAAGCTTAATATGAATTATAATTTGACCAATTTTTTAATAATTATTTTAATATTGTTTATTAATTTGCGTATAACTTTTTGAATAAGCATTTCTGAAAAACATGTCTATTATATACTTTTTTGTAGTTTTGTTCCATATAAGTGCTTTTTTGTTACATATGAGTGCTTTTTTAAATTTAAATGTTTTGATCATATACTAAGAAACAAGTTATATTTTAAGGATTTACCTAAATTAAAATTAAAATGCTTCTAAATTATAAACGATTTTTGAGATAATCCTGTGATGGAATTTACTGTAATAATATAAAATTAAATTTAACATATCTAACTGTGCAATTTATCCACCTAATTTCCTGAGATTTAAATTGAAAAGGTACAACTTAAATTAACAATTTAAACTTTGTTTTTGAATTTATTTAAAACGTAATTTTGAAGTGAACGTATTGTTATGTGCATGGTGGAAAAACAAGGTAAAAACTAAAATAGAGCAAAGCCGTTCTAAAATAATGAACGTCAACTCAAAACAAATTCAATTTAAAAGTTGTCCGGTAAATGCCAGCCGTTTTGTTTAAATCATTATTAGTACTAGTTTTACCTAAACTTTTACCGACAGAACCGTATAAATGTGCTGGTTAAACTGCAAATTATTTAGTTTAGTCATAAACTTTCGCCTGTATGTTTGCTTTGTCAAAGAGATAATAACGATGCGTTTATTCTATACGAAAATGTGCTTATAGATATAATTAGGGGTATTATGAATGCTATGCAAATAGTAGATTATAGCTATTATACATCAGAAAATTTAGATTTTTTTAAACATTAAAATTTTTACGATGTGTTTCAGTTAAGAAACCAAAAAACTTATTCGTGTTCTGTTACTGGAAGTTCGAATAATTACCGAAAGGGATGCTGTAATGATCTCAGTCGCCCCTTATAATTAGTCTAACGTTTCTCATGATCATTAGCTAAATTATAATTAAATAGGTTTAAATACAAAGCGGATTTACACAAAATGTAACAAACTTCACAAATGAACACATAAAATTTGACAAATTGAATGCCTTATTAGGATCAACTAATTATGATTATGAAACTAGCAAATTTTAGAATTTTTTGTCACAGGCAATAAATATGTGTTTTATAGAAAATTAATAGTTTAAAAAACTTTTAAAACACAATTAAACGCTCTAAAAAAAATTGAGGTTAAAACGGTCTGACAATTGTTCGATTTTATGATAGTATACAAGGGGCGACTATAATGATCTTTAAATTTTAAAAAAAGTGAGGTTAAAACTGACAGATGTGAGATTTTTAGTATTATCTTTGAGCGGCAGTAAAAGTATATTGTAGCCCTAGGCGATAAAGTGACATTTTTCCAGGAGGAAAGAAGAAATGTAAAGGCAAGCTTCAGCGAGCCTGGAAAATTACTTTCCGCCGTGGTTTACACGTTTTCTTCCTACACAACGTTACTGCAAAAAAACTAAAAATGTGAAGAGCAAATTCTGACATTTAAAATTATTTTGACATGCAATGTTATCTGGATTACAGACAGCCCGCAGCGGCATCTACACACATTTATATGTAACTTTATGCAGAAATCTAAAAATTTAATTTATAATTTGCTAATATTTTATTTTATTAGACCGATTAGTTTATAGAAAGAGTATTGCTTTTGTTAAATTTAATTTTACAATCGTAATAATTTTATTTTTTTATATTTTACACTATATATTATTTTAACAGCAGCGCCCTCTATTAAAAAAAGAAAAAAAAATACCGCCTAGGCATTTGGGATTACCGAGGGGATTACTTTTACAAGGCAAGCCGTAGAAACATCTACTTTCTCGTATGCATACGAGGTGTGTTCAGAAAATATTGGAAATTTTCGTTTTTTGAAACAAATATTTATTTATTCGTCTACATTAATGTTGTCGCCTTCAAAATAGTCCCCATTGGATATTATGCACATGTGCCAGCTCTTTTTCCAATACTCGAAACACTTCTAAAACTTGATCTTTGGGATAGCCTTTAGTTCCTTCAGCGATGCGCTTTTAATGTCATCTATGCTTGCAAAACGACGGCCCTTTAAGGTTCTCTTTATTTTTGGGAATAGGAAAAAGTCAGACAGAGGCATGTCTGGCAAATATGGAGGCTGGGGCATCATTACAGTATTGTTTCTGGCCAGAAATTTTGTTCAAAATTTAACAATTTTAGAACAAATTTTGCTGCCACGCGTTTCATACCCAAAAAATTCGAAAAAATTTCATGGGATGGGACAATCGATATACCAACATTATCAGCGACTTCTCTGTTGGTTTATAACCATTTCTTCCACTTTTTCCATGTTTTTATCGGTTGTTAATGTGCTTGTGCGTTCGGGGCGTTCGTCATCTTCAACGTCTTCACGGCCATCTTGGAAACTCTTATACCACTTGTAAACTCTTGTTTTACTTATAGCGGACTCACTATAGGCCTTTGTTAACATTTCACAGAATTTATTTCATTTTTTAAGCAAAATTGGATACAAATTCTTTGATCCATTTCTTTTAACGAACGAAAAATCGCCGAGCTCATAAAACACGTCTAACCTTAGCGGCTGTCACAGACAAAGTAAACAATGAAAACAGCTAAAGTTTTTATCATACTTCGGGTGCATCTATACCAACATAATACCAGTGTAGGAAAACAAGTAATTTTACTGCCACTCGTCAACGGCAGAAATAGTTAATTATGTCACAAGGCTGAGAAGTGAGTCTTTTTGTGCTGAGCTCAAAGCGAATACAAATTATTGTGCTAATAATATTGGCAATTGAAAAAAAAGTGAGGTTAGATAGTTTCAGAGTTGTAGAGGTTATCGATTTTTTGTATTGGTCCTAGCATACTCGGATATAAAACACCTTACCTAATAAGTCTAAAAAAAAATCACATCCGTGTGAGCTTGGCAATAAAGTAAAATTTTAACATTCTGTGAAATGTCAAAAAAGGAGCAACTTTCCGCACCTTTGCACGAAAAAAATATTATTAAGGTGTTAAATGTTATATGCTTTATATAAATATTCAATTTGCCCTTTTTGTCTAATTTTAATTTTCTGTCTTCCATAATTTTCTTAAATCTTCAAACTGTGCGCTGTAATTTGTACTGCAACAAAGTTAAACTTTATCTGCAAAGCGGGTAGATGGTATCGAAATTGTCAGTTGGGTCGGTGGCGGCGCTACTGCTAGCGCAGAGGATCAATGCTCGGGGGCAGTTTGAAAGTTAATTGTTCTGCCTTTACAATTGATATAAAGTTTGCCCTCCGCCGCCGCCGCCACTGCAACCATCTCCCCGACATCTTTGCCAACTACATACCAACCACCACCTGTTTTAATACTACAAACTTAAAGTATTACCAACTTGCCAGTGGGCTTTAATATGCCAAAATATCTAGGCCCTAAAAGGATTTTGCATGTTTATGTTTCAAGTGTTTTTTTAATATTGTTTTACTAATATTATTAATTATTTTCAGATAAATCCCTAAACTTTTAATGGTAAGTAATATTTAAATTGCTATAAACATTATTGAATTTAAAATACTCTTGGTAGAGTTGCATGTTCTACATAGGTAGATATAATAATGGATTTTTTCTACTCCCACCTTTAAAACGCCACTGTTTACTTTTAAACACACATTGACAAGTTGTGGCTTTACGGTGCTTAGTCACGGGCTGAAGCTAGCAACAGGGTTTTAGTCACGGGCTAGAGTTTTTTTAAAGTTAGTTGACAGTTGTCAAAAGTCATTCAATCGTTAAAATAAATTGCATTTCTTGTAAAATATTACTATATGTAATAGTTATTTTTTTTACAAGTGTTGAAAAGAGACTTTTTCATGCAAGTGTTTAAGTTGCTCACGAGGTCGTTAGGCCGAGTGTGCATCAAAACGAGCTTGAAGAAGGCTTTTCTCACATGTGAAACACAATATTTTTTCTACGACCTTTTTATTTTTTATTATTTTCAAATATAAAACAAAATAACCTAAAAACGTATTCAATAAACTTACCTTCTCAATTTAAATAAAGGCACTAAAAATTATAATTTAATATACAAACACAATTAACTGTGTTCTAAATGATATTTAGACAAACATATATAAATACAATTCAAATTTTGAAACGAATGTCAAACGATGCTGTCAATTTCTTTTCACACAGACCTGTCACTTTTCACACAGAAATGTCACTTTACATTTGTGTTTTGCTCGGTTTTGCCTCGCCAATGAAAAGATTCATTTTCTAAGCAACAATGCCATTACGAAATGTGACTTTTACATAGTGGTCGTAGAAAAAAATTATGTTATTATTTTAATAAAAAATACAAAAATATTATATAAAGTTTCTCAACGCCAAAATTTGAAAAGTTTATATGAACATTGTACCGACCTAAAATTTCGCCTGCATTAAACTAGATTTAATTTAATTTCTGGTGGAGACTACAACATTTTCGCCGGTAATACAGATTCCCAAAAATGGTTACTCTATTATTTTATAGATGTCACTCTATACAAATATTTAATTTAAATAATTTTTAGATAATAATAAGTATTTGTCGTGACCAAAATGGCGTTTATCAAACATAATGTATTCATTACATTATTGTTATTTTTAATTACGCCACAGGGCATTTCATAGAATACTCAAACATATGTTTAATGACAAAAAATATAATTGTAAGTGGGAGTAGAAATTATTTTCATAACGGTACCAAATTATAATTGCAGAAACAAAACCTAAACAGGTCACAATAAGGAAAAGTTTATGAAAAAATAACAAACTTAAAAGGCATAAATTAAGTTTAATTAACATGCAGCAATCCAACTCTGTAAATTATATGAACAAGAAGTTATCTCGAATTCCTTTATTATATTATACTTATTTATACAGTAAAATATGTATCGGGAACGAATTAACATCAATAACTAATAATGATTGAGAACTAACCGTTCTAAGCTGGATTGTATTAAAGTAATTTAATTTTTAACGATACAATTAATGTGTATGTCACTACAGTACGGTTGCATTAACCTTGCTAAGAACAACTTTCATAGGTAGGCAAAACATAAAAAATCAGGTTGGGTAAATAGATAATGTATTATAATTACTTAGCAAGCTAACAAAGAGCGTTGTTACTGTTTATTCGTTACACTTTGGACGAATTATAAAGGATAAAGTTGTTGTTAGATAAAAAAGTATTTGATAAAAACGTAATGTTATTTAAATTGGTTTCAATGAAAAAGCTAACTGGTGTTTGGTAAAGAAAATTATGTATGAAGTTGTTATAGGCGCAATTATTTTTTTTTAGGCCGAAGGGATTTCCATAATTATCCCTCTCTTTGTTGTAAAAATAGAGTTTATTTTTTGAAAAAGATCCGAGGCCTTATTTCAAATAACAACTAACGAGTGGTTTGTTTGGTATTATTTGCATTTTCCATCTTTATGGATGGAAATGTTGCTCATTATCCTGCGAATTGCAGAACGATGCAGAGGCTTTTTATTATTTTAACCATTAATATTTTAAAAGTTTTGTGTAATGAAAGATGGAAAAAAAGTAAAAATGCAAAGATAACAAACTAAATATTCAACAACGTTGCTCGAGCAAAGCATTTACCAATTTATTTAAACAGAAAAAGATTAATTTTAGCTATATTGATCGGCATAAAATTAAAAAACTTTTAGTTAAAAAAGTCGAGGATGGAAATGGATGTCTTTTAATCCAAACCTTTTTCACATTTTTAATAAAATCGACTAAAACAAATAATTTTCGTGACGAAAACAGGAGCGTGAAAGAGCGTTTTTTGGGAACGAAGCAAGCAACTTCTCTTTAAGTTTTATTAAATAAAGCTCCAGCGCAGTAAAAAAGAGTAACGCGACGGTGGCGGCGACAAAGGCAAAATTGCGCCGCTTAAAATTATTTATTCCCTTTGGCCGAGGCCTTTGTCGCGTGTCTTCAAATGTATACAGGCAACATTTTAAAACCTTTGTGCCAGTCCTCCTGCAAGCAACTTTAAATTAAGACTTTTCGTTTTTGATCCCGTCCCTACGTCCTGAACTACGTCCTTTTTCCTTATGATCGAAGCAGCCGTTTTCTTTGTAATTTCCTGCATTGCCTACTTTGACTGTGTATTTTAACACACAGTGCCACATTTATTGAATATAATATGTTACGCGCATTATCGTCCATGTGTACAGTTACGGAAAAAAGTAATGTCCATTTGAATGCTCCATTGTAATTGTTCGGAGGCATTCGGAAATAGTCAACATCTGCCTTTTAGTATTTATTTAAAAATATGTCTATATTTAGAATTTACTACCTGCTCGTATTGAATTAATTATTTTGTTGTGTATTACATATTTAACTGTATTTTTAATAAATCGTTAATTTTTTAATATATTTTTGTATAGTTTAACAAACATTTATTCAATGAAAAAACTTTTAATAAGAACTTTTTAGGCTATAAATAATATTACCAAGTTGTAGTTTTTTAAAACTTACTTTACATTTTTATGAACTAGCAATGATTCAATTCTACATCAGAGGAATAAAAAACACATTTTATTATTTGTTGCACGTTTATGTGTTAAAATTAAAAACTAAATATACTAGGATTTAAAAAAAACATTTGATATAATTATAATAAAAAAAGTTAACATACCTATAAAACTAACATACATATAAAACTATAAAACATATAAACATAAATAGGTATAAAACTTTAAAATATATATTATATAAATATATAAATATTATAAAACTATAAAATATATATTATATATTTCTTTATATTTATTTATTGCTCTTTTATTATATGTAGGTTAATGTGTATTTTTATTTGTGTTTATTTTTATTGAAATATTATTTTAATAAAAATAAACACAATTATAATCGTTAACCTATAATAATAAAACAATAAAAAAATATGAGGAAATATTTAATATATATTTTATAGAAAGAACCTAAATTAAACATACCTACCCAACAAGTTGTAGTATACCGCGTGTCGAGACGTTAGGCGAGAGATGTAATTCATCCGAATAAATAATGCGCATTATTTCCAGTGTAATATTATGCATTTTTTATCCAATTAAATAATTTTCATTGCTAACAAAATTTATTATAACCTCACTTTTCCCCGATTTTAAAGAGCATTATAGTCGCTCCTCGTATATATAAACAAATCTAACATCTGTTAACCATCATTTTTTTCAATTTAAAACCCGATTGGTTCTAATAACAGTAAATATTGAAATAAGCCAATCACTGCAGCATCATGATGCCTAAGAACGTTAATAATGAGTTCATTATTCACGTTGTTAGGCCGGGCGGTTATATTGGTTACCATTATTTACGAAAAAAAACCAAATAATGTCAATAATATCCAATAGAAGGAGGCTTTAATTTACATAGTAAGAATAAATATTTTAATTCAATTTGCCCAGGTAACACAAAATAACATAAAAAGGTAAATAATTTTTTTATGTATACATTAAAGAGGGTTATTAACAATTTTATTTGTAAAATTATGAAAAAGTTTATAACTATTTTAGTATTAAATGTCTATATTTCATTTAAATATATTATTATAATATTTAAATTATTTCAAAATCAATGTTATTCCTTAAATATTTAATTATTGCATACAATCTTAAAATTTAAATGAAATGTGCGTAGAAAGAATGGTAAATAGCAGGTAGGTAGAATTATTGACTTTAAAAATAAATATGTTAATTTTATTAGCAAAACCCGAATGCCTCCGAACCATTACAATGGAGCATTCAAATGGACATTACTTTTTTCCGTAACTGTACATTAAATATACATGGACAAGTTGTGGCTTTATCCCGTTTTAGTCACAAGCTGATGTTGGCAACAAGTTTTTTGTAAAATACTTTACTTTCTATGAAAAAAGTTCGACATTTTTAACGGCACGCCGGTAATACAGATTCCCATTCTTCGGATACTCTATTATTGTATAGATACAAATATTTAATTTGTCGTAGAAAACGTATATTATGCAACTCCTTTATAAACTTTTCTAGGCACTCATTTAATTAAACACTCGCTCTCAAGATCGCTCGTGTGAAATTAAATTCGTGACTAAAATGGCGTTTTTCAAACTTGATACATAATATTTTAGTACCTTATGGGGGTTTTCAGGCAAATCTGTCAATTTAAAAGATAATTCTATATACCGGAAGCTTTATTTTTTCTGATCGATTTTTATTTTTTGGTAAATGGATTTTTGTCTTTTATTTTATTATTTAGGGACCATGCATTATCATTTTAAAGAATTCTACAAAAAAATCCTTCATTAGCCTGAAACTTTAAAATTACAATAAAAATAATATTGATTTATAGCAAAATTCTTTAAAATTCACATTTAAAAATAAATTAATTCCGTGTTCACAATGTATTTAAATTGAGTGGATTCGAAGAGGGCGATATTTTATCGAGGAAGAATTTTAATTGAATTCCCATAGAGTTAATTTATTTATTC